CTGCAGTTCCTGATGTACTTACTCTGTATTATTCACTACTTTATCATGTTCCCCCATATTTATTATCTCCCTTCTAAGGGAAAAAATAATATTTTCTCTCATACATGTAATTATGAAAATCATCTACGAATTCTAAATTTTAATTCATGTAGGTAGCAAAGAAAGAGCCTCTAAGCCTCTGGCGTTCATTTAACAGCTTCTAAGATGGCTGTCAAAATATTGTTTACTTTATAACCTTACAATTTTAGTTGGAGAGAGAAATTTTTAAGTTGAGCAGGAAGAAAGGCTGCCATCGTACTGTACTTACTTGTAGGTCTTACTGCAGAACTTGTGTGTCACACCTGGATGCCCTCAGATTCATGAAATCTGGTGATATTTCTCTCTCCTCCTCTTTATTTATTTATTTTGACACCAAAGTTGTTTACAAAGTACTGTCCAGGGGAGTTCCAACATTTGTAACAGATGTCAGAGGCTTGGGCTCTACACACAAACACTGGCTGTACACGTAGATTAGAAACATTCAACACTTAAAAGAGGCAACGAGTTGATTTTGACCTTTGTTGTGCCTCCATTACTTGGATATGCACATGTGAATAAGCTCTACACTGGCTGGGTGAACTGCTGACAGCATCCCCCTGTTGATGTTGATGACAGCATCCCTCCCAACACCACGTGCTGGAGCAGGTGCTAACATCTGGTTTTCCCCACGTATTTGCAGGTGCAGCAGCTGCACGCCAAGTCGCCCCTCAAGGGCGGTTGCATGAGGGGTGGCTGGCGCAGCGTACCTTGTAAATAAAGCCAAAACCACTGAGTTTCTTGAGGACTTTTTCCTTGCTCTCAACCTGTTCAGCCACATCTAAATCACTGTCCGCAGAGACGTCAGGTAACAGATGCTCCTTTACCCAGAGCCAGCGGGCAGAGGAGCCCACAGCACCGGAGCCGGAGCCTGAGCACTCTCCATGAGGTCCAGGGCAGTAAACAAATGTAGCACAAGGCTCGACATGAGGATCTGGCACAAAATGCACCATGGAAATGGCATAATGACTCAGCCTGCTGAATGAGCACCGTCCTCTGCCCTGGGGTGAATGGAAATTGTAGGATGTAAAAGCCTTGCACAAGACTGATAGGAAGAAAAGGAAACACACCATAATTTATTATATATAGACCAATAAGAGTTGAGTTCAGGGTCACTATGGTAAACGAACTCAAGTATTTCTTAACATAAGTGTTCAAAACCACCAGTCAGACCACCTTTGTCCATGGACATTTCACATCTCAAAGTTGTTATTTTACAAGTCTCAAGATTTGTATTCATCTTTTGATTTTGAGTCTAAGTCTCATTTTGATCAGAGGGGCAGGAATTTAATTTCTTTTCCTAATGAAGTGATGACTCTCAAAAAAGTCATGAAATCTAAAGTAGCTGAAATGTTAAGAAAAAACAGCAAATCTGTCAAAACCTGCACAAAGTTATACAAGCTGGCATTGCTGTGGGATCACATTGGGAACACAACTTCCCTGACTATTAGTTGTCTGCATACAGTAACCCTTACCTACCATCTCTGATCCTCCATTTGTCAGAAATACAGACAAAATGCACACGGTAAATACATGAGTCTGACCAACACTGCTGCACTGTACCTGGTGAAACAAAATCCACCTGTCTTAACACTACTGAACCTTTGAGGAGAACCCTTTTGTTAGTGGTCAACACAACTGCAGTGTTTGACTGAGGGTAATAGGAAGAAATAAAGAGGAATACGCCACAAGGAGTTGATGTAAAGTGGGGGCGACACAGAACAACAGTCCTTCGACCCATAATAGCCTCTAGGCAAGTTCCTAGCATCTAAAAATTAGAACAGTTAATAGAAGAATCCTGTTTGATGTTGCTTACACCTAATTACTCTAAAGTTCAAACAAAAAGCTTCCTTGTTTATACTCAGGGTTCTCTGACCTCCTTTTAAGAGATGTCCTCAAAGCATCGTGTAAGTTCAGTACCATTAGCGTAATACAGTTTGCACACCGCTGCGGCACTGAAAGGATGGAGGGCAGAACCAGAGAAAAGGCACGTACTTACCTGCAGCTAAGCAGCCATTTTGCACTGGTGAGTTTTCTCCTTCAAATCTTCCACAGTTTCTTTATTGCATTACTGTGTTAGAAACTGCAATGTAATAGCATCGGTTCTGTTTGTGTTGACTGGTCTAATGAACACAATCCGATTACTGCTCTGTCACTGAGAGACTGAACCTGGCACTGGTCACCTTTACCCCTGTCACTCATCATTAGCCGGCTAAAATGTTTTAATTGAAATAACGGCTTGAGACAATAATACCTGTAAGGCGTTACAGATAAGGACTGTAAAAAAAAAAAAAAAACACCAAAAAAAAAGGCAAAACCAACATGGGCCCAGGGTCTGGGTGAGTTAAGGTGATACAGGCATTTTTTGTAGCTTTCCTCACGTTATGGAAAGGTCAAGAGATTTTGCTCTTGTGAAGAATACTATCCCTTTACAAATGGAAGGGACGTGCTCAGAATAGTAACAGGAACACTACAACAGAGATAGCTAAGAGCACACTGCCTCAAACTCAGTTCACATCGGGCTGGCACAGTGCTATCAAAAATAGCAAGCATGCACAAGAAAATAGTCAGTTTTCCTGCTTCGGTGCTTTCTTAGTCCTCTGCAAGACAGGGTACACAGCATCCAGATTGCTCCAAGAATTGTCCAGGTGACAATTCTTCTGAAAAGCAAAGGGCTACAAGGACAATGAGACACTGCAACCCAACAATGCCTGTTATTAACTTAGTGCCTCATCTAAATCCATATGCTTTCAGGGTGAAGGTAATCTTTCAACTTCTCTAATTCAGGCCATCTCTACACAGGTGCTTTAGATATCCGACTCAATCTCATGGAAGAAAGATACAAAAATTATAGTTCAGACCTTAAAAACCATGGTACAGCTGGGTCTCTGCAAATTGTCACTCTTGGCTATTCTCAATGCCTTACCTCCACGTGCCAAACAGTGCAGTAAAGGGTATTAAGCTACTCTTTTTTGATACAAGTAGTTTGACCATGGGGGGAGATACTCTCTCTTCCTAAGCTGTACCACTGTGCAGCAATGAATGCCATTAAAACAAATATCACTCACCTACAACATTAGAGAACTAAAAAAAAAATTAAAATTAAACTTACAGTTTCAGAAACCCCAAAGAGCAAAAAAAGACATTATCAATCTGCCTATCTGTTTAAAATGAACATTCACTTAAAATATTTGTACAAAGGACATATCATTTGTGCCTAGGATACAGCACTCTATGAGCAAATGTAATTTATTTCTGTTAGCGTTTCATTGTCTGGCTGAGGCTATGAGTCTTTCTGTCTGAGCAACGGTTCTTTAACCTTCTTACTGAGGGTCAGTATGAAGGTCCCCACGAGTTAATGTGACTTTACATGCACATAAACTCTTCCCAGCTTTCTGTGATCTCTCCTCCCTGGCAGCGCTCCTAGACGGTTCATCCACGGGCCAAGGAGCAGTATTTATTAAGCAGAACTCTTAAAACCAACATGGAAACATTCAGTCGGCATTTGTCCCAGGCATCACACCTGATTAAGCGATACAAAGGCTGGCCAGTTATGAGTGAGACAAGCAAAGTGATGGTGTCTTAAGCTCAAGTCCTGCTGAATGTGGCGCAAAGACAGCTTGTTGTGTTTGGGTGGAAACCCACCACCTGCAGTGTGGAGGTGCACAGGCTCAAGCACTGAAGCCACAGCTGTTCTTCTGCCCTTGCCCAGGGCTTCCCTCTAGTGTCCACTGTATTCTTACATATGAAGTTTCCAATGAAACTTTAGATTGACAAAACCAGTATTTGAAAGGATGAGGATTTCTGGTATCAATCATTCACTCAGTATTCCGTTCATTTTATGGACTGGTCATGTCTTACATATAGAGCAGTACACCAATTCAACACTAACCTCCTTTAAAAGGAAGTCAGAAGCCAGTTCGTAGGCTATAGTCAGATAAAAAAAACCCAAACACATTCTGCATGTCCTTTATTATGGCCCCAGGATATACTGAAGAGTTAAAATTAATTGCATTATTATTATCATCATCATCACCTGTACTGCAGTATTATCTCACACTTTCAAATCCAGGGCCTGCTTTGGCTTAGGTCATTCCTTTCTGCTAGTTTAAAACCTAGGCTGCCTCAAACCACAACAGACAGAAGTAAGAAACAAAGGAGATAAAGATAACGGAAAGACAAGGTACCACTACAACAAACATACTGTAGCACTGGAATAAACAAAGCTTAGCACAATGAACCGGCTGAGGCACTACGTAAGTAGTTTGCTAAAAGCATCCTTTTAGGCATTACTATTATGAAAAGATATACAAGCAAATAAAATGCCAGCCAGATTTAATCTGAAGAAGACTTTTGCCTTCCATACACAGCAATGTTGGAAAAAAAGACTAAGCTACGTCTGAAAAATTTTGCAAAATTAGGCAGCAGTTGCCTCAGAAGAGAAATGCTTATCTGTTTTGCTGTCTTGCATGTTCTCAAGCAAAGAATTCCATTTTTTTTAGTCTCCTGAGAAAAGTAAATGCTCAAAATACGTGATCAAATAGAAGATGTGAACTTAAAAAAATAAACAGAATATAATTCTCATATCTTGACATTAAAGAGTAACATGTAATTTCCCAGATTTCTCAATATCTGATGACTCACAGGCAATCATCTAGAGAAGGTCACTTCTCATGGCAGCTAGCAAAGCCCGAGCAGAGCCTACTTGCCCTCATTCCCTGACTATCCATTTTGTTTCATGTTTTCCTTGATCTTCAGCTATTTTCACCCAGTTGCACCTAATAATTATGGATTTATATTGAGCATTTCTCTGCATCACTTTCAAATATCCACCAAGCCGTGCCCCAGTGACTCTATGAAAATTCCTATCATCATCATAGCACACATAAACAAGTAGCTAAGTGTACACACACAGGCTAGATACTGGTAGCTTGTAAACTTACAAAGATTTGTGAACATTTTGTCTATTTCAACAACTGAAAAATGAAGACGAACCCCACCAGTTCCCAGCATCCTGTATAATCACTTCACATGCCAGCCAGCTCTTTGTTGATATCCCAAAAAGACCACTTAATTTACTGACAGCCAGCTCAGGATGAACCATTCCCTGGCTGACATACCAAAGGCTGAGAACACAGATGTCATACAGAGAAGCCCAAAAAGGAACCACTGAATAAAAAGATTTTCCAGTGACTGTCTTCCCTCCACCTCTAAGTGCAGGCAGGAGAAAGTTTGAGCCAAACAGCTCATAAAAACATCAGTGTTATGAAAGAAAAAATGCTACCATTAGATTTGTACCATTCTGATATAATGTGTGGGGAAAAAAAAGGTGAAGGAAGCATAGAGGGAAAGAGAAGTATCTAAGATGTAAAATAAAAGAATTTACAGTCTTTCCTTTCCTTGTTTGTGCATAGCATAACGTAGTGATTCAACTTCTGGTCAAGCTACCCTCATGAAGAATTAATTCGTATTGGAACAAAAGAGTTGTCTTGCTCCAATATTTAATGCATTCAAACACAGATCTAGCACTCAAGCAAACAGGATGCAAGTTTATATGCAAACTATCCAGGTAATCAGGATGTATAGTAGGCACTGGCTGTTTGATCAGCTGTTGCCATATGCAGTCAACCAGACAGACTTCATTCAATGTTTTATGTGTGAATTACACCATCAAGATAAAGACCAGCTGGCTGGGAGGTAGGAGGCTACAAAGGCATCTTTTCTTCCCACTGCTCTTACTCCCAGCTGAGTTATATAGCAGAAACTGAAAAACATAAAGAAGTTGAATAGTACAACATAGTATTTGTAAGACGGACAGGTTTCAAAGGAATTGAAACTTCTTGGAACTTTTAAACCCCCTGAAACATTAAGTCCCAAACAGTGGTCACCACCATCACCTAATGCTTGTAACTGCAAGATGCCAGAATGCATGCCCAGGCGAATGACGACCACT